AAACAAAATCTGGCAAAGGATAAATTAAGTTAGAAGTCTGTCAGGAAATAATAAAGGAACAACACCAAGAAATGTATTAAAAATACACAAACAATACATACTACCAGTTATATAATATGCTTGTCCAGCCTGAATTAATGTTGCATCTGCGAAAATGAAACTAAACTACAAAAACAACAAAATGCTATACTCATTAGCGCATGCAATGTTTCTCGTTCAACAAATTCCCACTTTTTACACAAATACGCAAACATACAACCACTCCACGACAGACTTCTAAGCAGATCATTCACCTACTTCAAGAAAAATTTACATAAAAACGAAATGTTACGCGCACTGTATCGGTACATCATACATGATGGAAATGAGCCGAAGTACCTCTCATCCATAAATATGTACTACAAGTTCAGTAATATGCCACCTACCTAATATATCATTTTGTAGTTGATAATATAGTGTATTAAAAAGGTTATTTATGTACATACACATAGAATAAGCCACAATATGAATGGTATTGGAATATATGTACTACAAATTAGCAACTATAACTCGGTGTAAATGATGAACGTTCAAACATAAATGGGCACGGGCCTGATAGGGGAATCGAATTCGTATGATGAACATTCGTGAAAGCAATACCCTCTTTTATGTCGTGTTCAACATTTGACAGTGTACAAATGTTGAGAAATTAAAACCACACCTATGCTGAGGGAGAAATTACACCCATGATGAGGGAGGAAGAGATCAAAATTGCACCTGACCCTCCCAGGTCCAAACAAGGACCTAAATCCCGATAAAGCAGAATCAGCAGTTTCTAACGCCTGACGTATTCCAGATACTTTTTTTTTCTTTCTTAAAAGCTAGAATACATGAAAATACAATTGTAAGAACATGCCTCTTTCAAGTTGTATGGCATTTCAGATAAAACAGCTGCATAACACATTTTTCCTATTTTTTTCTTTTTAGCACGTGTCTTCCCTCTACGATAAGAACACGGTTTCAGTTTCTTTGGTTTTATTCGTGAAAAAGCTCCCACCGGTCAGAGCATTAATAAAAGAAAAAAAAAATGTTTTTAGCAAAGACAAATTTTTGGCAGTTTTCGAACTGGGAAAATCGTCTCTTAACAAGTGTTTTCCACATATTATCACTAGTTGTAAACTAAATTTCGGTCTACTGTACGCCTCGACCAGAACATCCATTTTATTGACTTGTCTTGAACCATAGTTTTCTGAATAGTTATAAACTATTTACATTTGTGTCCTTTGTACGACTGTATTAGAGCATTCTGTTTGTGAACTTGTCAACTTTTGTAAGAATTAAAATCAGAAATATATTCGACATGGTAGTGAATATTAAAGACGTCCAGTTCTCAAGTTAAAGGCTCCTTTCACACATGTGTAATATTTTAGCTCTATTCAATGCGTTAAGTGTACAATTAGTCAAGGGTAAGAGCGTAAAGCAATCAAAAATGTTATGATGCAAAGCGAGCGCTGGGTCGTAGAATTTGGATTTAGTGCTATGCTGTAGCTTTCACAGTTATTTACAATATATCAAGTTTCTCGCTGTACAGCTGACGTAGAGTTGTTTACATTTGCAGATGTTCATTTACTGTCCTTTGAAAGACTAGCATAGCTAGACAAACGAATAAATACACCAAAAAAACACTGGTTTTGTACACGTGGGTGCTGTGATACGTTGATCGTGTTTTGATGTTAAAAATCGATGCTCTTTGTCACAGCTGCATGTTATGAAACACTGCACCGAAATGAATCCGCAGTTTATTGAGTTTTAAAGAAATTGGTACTTCTCGCATTTTTTCGACATTGATAAATAACCAACGTTCATAACTGATAAACGTTTTTATACATTTCGGGCATCTTTGACAAGGCTAGCTCTTTTGCCTTTAATGAAAAAAAAAAAAAGGTCAGTTAATCTTTTGAAACCGCTCGTGTTATAGGATTTCGTATTTGTGTCTTTAATTTTTGAACTTACGTGTTTTCTTCATATCACGAATGAATGGATAAAAGGTAATTTTTTTAGTATTTTAAATTTTGCCCCATTGTTGGTCAAAGATCAGCGGCGTAATTACAAAAAGAACTCCCCCCCCTCATCATAAAAGTAATTGGGCCCTTTATATTTATCCCCCCCCCCACAGTGGTACAGCGGTATGTCTGCTGACTTACAACGCTACCCCCCCCCCCCCCCCCCGCAATTGCAGGGTCATACTTACGCCACTGCCAAAGATGTTATGCGTATAAGATAAGATTACTGATGATGATCTTGTACTGGTCTTAACCTCGAATCCTTCAGAACTGGAAATTAAACGCCGAATACCTATTAAACTGTATGGAGCTAGTAATTCTCATCCTGTTAAATTAACGTCATTTAACAACATCAAAACTTACAGGTCATCCTGTTATAACATTTGAGGACTTCAAAAAAAAAATCTGTGGAAAGTCATTCCTTTTTCGATATTTCTAAAACAAGTCTCTAACATAAATTGGAAGAGATAAAAATGTTTATCCCATCCTTTTCCGGAAGTGACGTGTATTTTTAAGTACTTAGCAGAAACACAATATAATGATTTATGTTCAATATCGGCCTTGGGGCTTCTTATTGTGAGAAAAGTGTACTCAATACTGAAACGTATGTAAGTTCATATACAAAACGCAAACCTGCTCTGATTATACAGTTATTGATGTCTTCAAATAATTTATCCTTTGTTGTTTGCAAATGTCCATTGTGCATATTCTAACGTAATTAAGTCAGAATTAAAAGCCCGACATCTAGTAAAAAGAAACTTCTGAAATAATGTTGTTGTTTTTTTTTGAAAATAATTATGTAATCTTTCCTTTTGGTTGCAGTAACAAATGTGAAGCTGGCGGAAAAGTGTTTACTTTGAGTGCTTTCGTGTTAACAATTTTAATGGAACGTTTTTTATGCCATACTTCAATTACGTGAAAATGAATATTTAAATGACCCTTTTGTGTAGTAACTTTTCGTTGTTTATTTCATTAAGAAGGTTTTGCGGTCAAAAGGACTTGTCAACGGAAAGTTCTGTGCTGCAACTGTAAACAAGTTTATCGAGAACCGGTAGCAGGCGAGTAGCAATAATTTTTACCAACCAGCTGTGACCCTGTGGCTCAGCAGGACGCTCGAGGATTTACAAAGCTAAAATTCGTGTTTCAATTCCCCCATTGAGCATCTTTTGTTTAATCACAAACAAGTGTTAGGTTCAATTAACTAGAGCTGTAATGAAGGGTTGACACTAGCCCCCCCCCCACACTGGAAAATGAGAAACATGATTCTTTCTTTATTCATTCAGCATACGTGTATACATTTTTTTATTCACAATTTCACACGACTTTGACCCCCCCCCCCCCGAATAATTTCTGCGGATGCCCCTAGTCATATATACGTGTTTTTTCTTTCTTCATCTTTTAATAAAACAATTTTGGTTTAAGTCATGGGCATTATACAAATCAAAAGATCGAATTTTCTATGTGAGTGACATTTAATGTGTGATTACTATTCAAACAGTGGCCAACGATTTGTATTAGCAAGTGTGGCACTGCTTGAATGCCGCCTAAAGAACCTTCGAATATTTAGAACTATCT